TCACAATGGTCTATATCGGCTACTACTATTCATACTATTTCCTACTATTCACTCCGCCGATTGATCATCAATCAGTCAATCTATGTTGCTAGTAAATCCATCACTGCCGATAAATCCAGCTATACCACACTCTGATCATTCATTCGGCTCTTCATCTATCCGTCTAGCCATCTTATCATCCATATGTTTTCACACTCATCTGTCCATCTATCTATGCATCTTTCAGTATATGCACCCGTTTATCCTTCCATTTTTCATGCACCTTTCGCCTTTTTCTGTGCCTATCTAGCCATCCAACTACCAATACGAATGCAGTTCTGGTTATCTACCCGGCTGTCTATCCATATTCAACCATCCTGCTATGGAAGCCTTAGACGTTATATTTAAATTTATCGGATAATTATCTCAAGTCCTGATGAGCATTTTGTCTAAAATATAAAAATCCTTCTTCATTGTTTAATCGTGCCTGCTAATTGTTTTATCCTCTATTAACTTGTAAGATTCTCTCCTGACTTATTGTTGACCAGCTGAAAAAAACTTCTATTTTCAAGCAGGCAACCATTTTCACTTTCAATAAGGCAGCCTTCCTCTTCTGTTCTCCCCTTCGTGGGACTTTGCCTGACTCTGGTGTGCCCACATACACAAGCATTCTGTCTTATCTGCTGCTAAATAAACTCCAGAATGGATGAATTTCTGCCAGCCTCCTTCGCTCTGCCCGGCTCAGCTTTCGCCGATTCCACTCTTTTCTGGGCGAGAGTTGCCGTTTTTCGTCAGGTCATGTCTGGCGGTTTGTCTCATCTCTCTTTCTGCCGCATGCCTTTTCTCTTCTGCCTTCTCTCCCAGTGTTGGGCCCTGCCTTTACCTCGTGCCTCGACAAATCAGTCACAGATGGCGAATTTCCCAAAACCCTGGGCACCCACCACCGAACAGCCAGGGGCCTCCCGGCCGCTCTAAATGGGGCTCGTCTCTGCCTCTCATTCCCTCCTCCCCCCTCAGCCTCACTGGTGTCATACCTACTAGAATCAGAAGCAGCACCTTCCGCCCCCCCCATCGTCCTCATCACTTCGGGCATCATGTTCATCAGGCGGGTTATCATCTGTCTCTGCAGGCGAGGTGAGGGGGTACACAATGCTGACACCAGCAGAATGATGACCTCCTCGGCGGAGGTGTCAGAACGGTGCTACCAGCATGCCGACACCACCCCCTAACCATCACCAGCAACAGCAGCAACAGCTCCCCCTGAAAGGGTCTTTGTGGCAGCAGACGGCTGTCTCAGCCTGGCTGGACGGGCCATAGAAGGATCGTAATACCTGGATGGAGGTAGAGTTGAGCGGTGCCGAAAAGAAGAGGCGACCAGAGACAGGCGGCAGCTGAAGGCACAAAACGATGGGACTGGGGCGAAGCGACAAGTACCAACTAACCACTGACGCCTGGACGGCGTGCCAGTGCGCTAGAGG